AAAGCGCGGGAAATTGCGGGAGGAGGCTGTTACTGTCCTTACGCATCTTCCCACAGCGAAAAAAATTGGGCAATTTCCAATTATTAAGAAAACTGAATTACTGAATGTTCTAGAACATTCGATGATTAATTAATAATTCGACCGCAAAACGCCGGCGACAAAGGGTATATAAACAAAGAGTTTTCGAGGTATCTCGCATGTCGTAATAGTAACAATCTGTAATATTTTTGTAAGAGCATCATTCTCGAAATTCCGTTAAATTTCGTCAGTGTTTTGCGGCCGCGAATAATCAATCGCTGTTGAGAGCGGAGAAACCACAAAACCGTTCATATAAATCGTAAACTGCAGTTATAGTTCTTTCTTCTATTTTTTATCATTATTTTTTTTTCTTTGTGCGCCGTCGCGAATCCGCATAGTATTATAAATCGCAAAAAGTTACAAGTCTTTTATTTTTTTTGTTGTTCTTTTTTTTGTGCGCGTTTTATTTAATAAATCTATCTAATAAACCTAGTTGATAAAAGTGGCACGTTATTATTTCTCATTCTCTCATTTCTTTTCCTTCTTTTTTTTTCTTTTTTTTTCTTCGCAAAGTGCTTTCTTATAACTGTCGTCTGTGACGTCTCTTTTCGCGCGGGAGTGTTATGTGTGAGAGAGAGAGAGAGAGAGAGAGAGAGAGAGAGAGAGAGAGAGAGAGAGCATAACGCGAATAAATCCGCGGTGTCCCTTGAGCCCTTCTTATCAGTATCACGAGCGATATCTTTAGAATTCAAGAGACACGTAAGCCCTTATAAATGGCTGGCCTTTCCATCCACCCCTTTTCTCATCCTCGCCGATGCTCCTTCCCAGTAGCTCCGGACCTTCTCCGGTCGTCACACGCTCAATCACGATCCCGTGACTGCCTTCCGAGTGGAGACCAAGCGCTCCCATAGAATGCCCTGCCGCTCAATCTTGTCTGACGTCGCTCACATCGCTCGTTCCTCTTCAAACTGGGCCACAAAAGAATAGACCCCGACTTCTTCTTCTCAAGACATTTCACCGCGCTAGATCAGGCAATAAACGCGTTCTTCGTACACTTCCATTTCGCCATGCACCATATACTTAAACGAAATAATATTCGTAGAAGTGCAATAGGCCGCAATCGGTGGACCGGACGGGAACAACTATGTTGTTTAATATGGGAATATCATCGAATAACAACCTTTGATCCGCGAGTATTCGCTTCCCCGGTGGATCCAGGAAATGCTCGTGTATCACCCGGATATACGAGCATTTCCCCGCTTTCGCATTCGCCACTACGAGTTTTCCTGCGGGTCACGAAAATTAAAGTCGTTATCATAGCAATGAGGGTGGTATCCCGGCCATTCTGTGATGCCGCTGTTTTCCGCGTTTTTTTTTTGTCTTATTTTCTTTTCTTACTTTTGTCTTCGTTATCATTCCTCATATCCCGTGTCATCAAATAAATTATATACCCGTTACAATACTCTATGTTCCTTTTTTTTTCTTCTTAATACTACTATTCTTTCGTGCGGGCGCTGCTCGGCGCCAGGTCGATACGCAGCCAGAGAAGCCAAGGTTTCCGATTGGCTCCTCTCTTTGCTTCCTCTTACTCAAGCGGATCGTCCCGCCACAAGGAGTCATACGCTCTGTGTCTTGTTGTCCGCGCCGATGGCCGCTCAAGAATCCGGGATGTGATAATGGTCGACACCGTACTGTACATTTTATTTATTATTTTATAATTTGACTAAAAAATTTTTAATTGTTTGACATCTTTACTATCAAGACTTTGGATTAGCAGTTTACATTATGTGCTTGCAATTTCTATCATGAGTAAATTTTTTTTATACATTCATTTTCATTATATTAAAATACTTATTTAATTTTGTTATTAAAGGCACCGATTTTGTGATTTCTATCCAGTCTTGTAACTGGCATGGGAGAATGTATTCTCGACAGAGAACTTAGTTTGGCTTCCCTGGAGACTGCAAAGAATACATTTACATTTTCCAATTTTGCATGCATAGACAACGAGCAATATATGCAAATTTAGCATATTATGTAACTTTTTTACGTATATTTTTTTGCTGAAAAAGGTTAGAAAACCTACCGAAACGTATGAATTTATTATCATTTTAACGATTATGTTTGTTCTACTTCTCTTCAATAAATTTAATTTGAATATTGAGAGATCTTCTTGAACAATTTGCGTACCTCTGAACAACTCTTATTTCCTCGAGCCCTTTTTTCTCTGTTATTAAAACAAGATATTTACACAATAAAAGAAAATTTACATAATTTTTGTGGAATTACATATAATTTCTGTAAAATTATGTAATTCCACAAAAATTATGTAAACTTGCTTTTATATATCTGTAAAATTGCATAATTTTTTTATATTTACAGGGCTAATCATGTAATTTTTATATCTTTTATATGTATAAATTTACTTCTTTTACAGTGTGAATGGTTTGTATTGTATCATGTCCAATCGTGTGCAAAGTAACAATAATAGTAATTGTAAAATTCGTTACCATTACAGTTACCAAAAAAAAGTAACGCAGTTACCAGTAAAATTACCAAAAAGGTAACTTATAACTGTAACTTTGTTATAAGTAACGAATTACTTCCATTCCCTGAAGAGGAATATGCTTCGGGAAATCGATATTCATTTTTTTCTCATCATTGTTAAGTTATATTGAGGAAGATATTCCTTAATATATTATACGTTTAATGCTTTTGTTTGTAATATTAAATTCAGTATAGAATTTACAATTTCCATTTAATTTAATTTTACTTGTTCCATTTATTTTTAATTCATTTTTTAAATTATCACAATCGATCGAAACTTTTTGATTCTTTATTGGAATATAGCCACGAATAGAGCCACGAGCCTCTGTCAATGTAATCCACAAAGTGGTACTAGATAAGACGTGTTCAATTTCGCAATTTTGAAGCTGTCTCGGCGTGTTTATAAATATTAATACCTCATATGACGCGTCGAACTTAAAGTAATATATCGGAATCGTTTGCTCGCAAGTGTGTACGTGTAGTATCTCGCATATTTCTATTTATCACTCTCATATAATAAAGTATAATGATTATTCTCCTTATCTAACGCTATTAATGAGTGATTAATCTTTACAAAAATGAATACATTTGAATGTATTTAAATAGGAGGATAATGGCGCGTATTATTTTGTACGCGATTTTGGATACGATTATTGGAAACTAAAGCGTAGTAAAATATATAAGAATTCGAATAAAATGCGTTAATTGACATATAATTTTGGATAATGTTCCAATTTTCTATCTTTATTTGAAAGGGAAAAATGTAAATCTTTCGTTTGTGACATAGCTTCCCACATATCTATTATTATATGCTCTAAAAGCAATAAACGAGTAGATATCAACTACTCTTTCGAGTACGCTAAATGATTTAATGTTTTTCCTAGATCTAGTCAAGTCGATCATGAAGGTAACAAGTACTTGTATGGTAAATGTTCATCGAGGTCTTCTCGCTGCATATATTTATCTAACTGCATCTCTATTATTCTTGTAACATTCAATAACAGATTTTCATTATAGGCCGTTGCTTTTTCTAGACTACTAATGTGTCCAATAGTTGCGTTTAATATTTTTAATAGTTTGGCTGCATGCCGTAATACCTGCTGATTATCTTGAAATATCTTATCTTGAAATATGTAGTTACTTTATTCACTGTGCATAGCCTCCATAGAATATTCCTATTCGAATAGCATTTTGCTAATCGTGCCAATAATATTTAATAACCTTCTTTTATTAGTTCATTCTTTTATCCGTAAGTTGACCATTCTCCTGATTTCTCCAATGTATACTTGCCCGCAGGAATAAGGTATTTTGTATACTCCTGCGGAGCTGAATGGAGGAGTCTTTGATCTGTAGAATTTCTTAAGATTTGTCCTATTTTTTTGGGAGGTTTAAAAGAAAAAAGATAGTTCGGATATTGTATTGTTTAATATCCTGTCAATCCGATCTGTTGTTTCTTTGACACATGGGAGAATAGACAAGATCCTTTCGTTTGGTTGTGTGTCAGAGATCGTTGTCTTGTTTGCATGTTTATTGATTGTTTTGATTATGTCTTTTTTGTCGTGTCCGTTTTTCTGTAAGGCTAGTTTTAAGCGATTGAGTCTGATGTTCTTTGTCAGAGATGGTGAAAGCTCTATGTATAAGTGAGTTGATTGCAGACTGTTTTCGTGCTGGGTGGTGATGTGACTCGGCAGATATTATCGCTCATGAAGTTTGTTCATAAAATTGTTGTTATAGGAGAAGTGGTTGTTAAGCAGTGCTCTATTAGCGGGTTGAAGCCAAAGAGGCCTTCATGTGAGGCTTTTATTATGTTTAATGTATCTTTTATTGGGACTTGTGTAAAAAAGGATTCTACGTCGAAACTTACAAGGTTTGTGGGACGTAGTCGGATTTTTTGAATCTTTTGTATGAAGTTCGTTGAGTTAGTTATGTGTGATTCGGATTTTCCAGTAAGGGTTGTAGTGTTTGTGCTAGGAAGCGAGATAAGTTGCATGAGGAATATATGGCGCTGATAATTGGAATTTTTTTTTCATCGAGGGATTTTTTGGATTATAAAAATATAAAATTTTTTAAAGATTTTTTGAGAGGAAATACAAAGAAATATCCAAATTATAGTTAAAATATGAAGAAAATCGCAATATATAAGCATAATTTTCGAACAAATCTGACAACATTAGGTCGTCTCAAACAAATTCGACGGATTGATTCGACGGTCAAATTGCCATTAAATGTGATTTGATCTATGACGAACTATTCAGATTTCAAATTTTTTAAGTTTAAATCTTTTCCAATCTATACACATTCCTTTTACATTCCATATTTAGCAATGTCTTTTTATAAATATTAGAAATTTATTGTATATTTTTAATCGTAATGATAATTGAAAATTCAAAATCAAGAATTTGGTTGAAAAGTCAACTACCTTTAATGACTTTACTTTATACTTTTATATCACCTAGGTCCTCAGTTACTTTTAAGACTATATATTTGTCTCTTTCTCTTCTTCCTCTTCTTCAGATTCCGTATTGTTTTCAGGAAAATCAGGAAGAAGAAGTATATAATCATATTAAAGAAAAATCATTGATAAAGGACAAAAAAAGAAGATTAGAAAAAATCTTTACTAAGCCTATCTAATTTTTCCTGCCAGGCTTTCTTTAGGTACGTTTCTTGTGCCGTAATTATTTCTTCGCTGCTTGTGCAAAGATTGTACTTTTCCAACAGTTCGCTGTTCAGCTCCAAGAACGAATGTCCCCATGAGAATTTTCCAAGATGAAGCTCGGCCTCGTTCGGAAATCCTGTTATAATTAGAGTAGCTGCTATAGCTTCTACACAACTCAGCTGATAAGGCTTTCCATAATTTATAGGATTTGCAGTGACTAAGAATGGCAGTATGCGAGGATGAGATGTCTTCATTCTGTTGAAGGGAGTGTTATCCAATCGTGCCCAACTACAATCTATGACTGCGCAGCCGTACTTCCGTACAATATCAAAATCCGACGGACTCACGCACTGTAACATTCGGTTATTGGCATCAAATTTTTGTAATAAAATCATAGATCTATCTTTTTGTAACTGAACAATATACACTAGTTAAAATAAAATATATTTTGGAATTTGGTAAAAAACAAGATAAATTTTAGTACAACAACAAAGATTTCATGTTAAAATACTTATAGAAGAAGCAGATTTTCTGTATCCCAAAAACTAGCCGGCTTATCAATAATATATATGGATTATCTTACGAGACATAGTACAGGCAAGTTCAGATTTGTTTGTATATCTTCTAAGAAAAAGTAGAAAAGGTACACACGCTGTTCAGAAAAAATTTTATATAAAAAGGTAGCATTAATTTGTTACTGTCAGTAAAATTAGTAAAATAAAATTAAAATATAAAATTATTATTCTAAACGAAAGAATAAGGCGTCAAATATAATACAAGGTTGTCACAGAAAATGAATTTTAAAATTCTTTGATTTTTCAGATAAAAATGAAAAATTTCTATGACCAAAATAAATATTACGTCCTGTAGACACCACGATTCTTTTCTTTCGAAAAAATCAGCTCCACGTCGCAATTACGGTTGGGGTCTATGAGACTCAAGTAGAGTTCCCTGATAATGGCCTGACAGAACTGAAAAGAGGAACCGGACTATAATAGTTCCGCGAAAACTCCTAAACATTAATCAACCCGGAAAAAATAACAACCTCAATGCAGGCTGGAAAGATGACAAAATTAGCTAAAGACATTATAAATGCACCTAACTCACGCAATAGTAAAAATCCAAGCTTTGTTGTCCCAAGACTGACCAATAATTTCATCTTAACAAAAACAGGTGCCACGTCGCGCTTAAAATCGCATGAGATAACTTCCCACGATAGCGTTATTTAAGATCGGACTCGCGACTGACAATGGTTGCCCTGCACACAAAACTAGTTGAGCACGGTAATCGTCTGTTTATCTAGTCATATTTTCCGCGAGGATAACAGAATTCGTCATCTGTCTGGAGCAATCTTGTCTCTTTAAAGAAAAATCATTTTTTCCCATCTCGAAACTCCTCCCCCCTCCCCTCTAACAATGCACTTTAGATTAATAACGATAGGACATTAAATATCATAAAAATACATAATACATAAAAATCATAAATCTCGCGCGACATTGCAACTAATTATAATTATTGCAACTAATTATTGCATAGACAAAGGGGATTACGCCCTTTTTTTCGGGGTATAAATAAAGATCACGCGGAAACGCAGAGCGTCAGCATGAAAGTAAAAGTAACTCGCCGGTTCACGTAGATATGGTTTACCCTAATGAAAAACCACACCAGTGATCCCGTCACGCCGAGTTCGCGTATCCGTGCTCGAGTTCATCGAATTATCGGAATCAGCCAGGCACTCCCCATCAGACCATCTTCTTGCGCGGAGCTCCTGAGTCAAATTCATCATTCACTCGAAGGTCAAAAACATCATTCACTCGAAGGTAGACTAAGCAATCCCACGCACTTCAACAGTAAGTCGGTTGTTATACGCTCCATCATATATGTCCCCCATATGGATATATAAATGTATATATATATAAAT